CATGCTGTCGTTAAGAGAATAACAAATATAATTACTGACGCCCCCAGGTTAAGATCAACTGGTATAGAATATAGATGTTAAGTCTTACATCGGTATGCTGTTGTTAGTATTATCAATAGTAGCAGTAATAATGCAATTATTAAGATTATCTTTATTATTATTATGATGATGATTATTGTTATTGTTACTATTTTTATTATTATTATAATTATTATTGTCGTTATTACTATTATTATTATCATTATCATTGTTATTAAGTAAAATTTTAATAGGCTCGTTACCCATCCTGTATCTTGCGATTATTTCTAGCATCTTTAAAAGTTTACTAAAATCCCATTTTATCCTTAAATTATGACCAACCATTTGACACATTCCATTCCACTTTGAAAGACTTTAGCAACTAACGTAATGACATAAAATATAAAATCCGAATTGCCTTTGAAAACATCCCCTGAATGATTCACTTGACTATGCATCTGAATCGACCTGTTTAACTTATGAAAATAACGATATTCGACCAGATATCAGCCACACGTCTCTATAATTTGGATAAGAAATAAATCAGTCGAGTGTGGTCGATTAATCAATCCATTTACTCACTGCAGTAAATCATTTGGAACAAAACAACAGTCCAGTACCTTAGTTCATACTGCCCCGTGGTTCTGTGGAAGACGACCACAGACAGGGCGGGAACGGGTGGAAAATCCTCACTGATGATTATTTGTGACGTTTCGTTACTTTTTCCTTCAGTATTCTCAGGCTGTATAGTGACCCTGGAAAATATGTATATATATTGTATATATATGTGTGCGTGTGTGTGTGTGTGTGTGTGTGTGTGTGCGAGTGTGTGTGTGTGTGTGTGTGTGTGTGTGTGTGTGTGTGTGTGTGTGCGAGTGTGTGTGTGTGTGTGTGTGTGTGTGTGTGTGTGTGTGTGTGTGTGTGTGTGTGTGTGTGTGTGTGTGTGTGTGTGTGTGTCTGTGTGTGTGTGTGTGTGTGTGTGTGTGTGTGTGTGTGTGTGTGTGTGTGTGTGTGTGTGTGTGTGTGTATGTGTGTGTGTGGATGATGTAAATGTGTAATTGTATGCATATGTATATGTAAATGTTTGTGTGTCTATGTATTAAGTATTGTATGTTTCTGCTTATGTGTATGGGTATGTGTGTCTCTTTGTGTTTATGCCTACTTTTGTGCATAATATTCAGTGAAAAGTGATAATTTTGATGAGCATTTCTCAATACATTGATACATTTTCTTATAATTACCTGTATGAACTTGTAGGTAGGTCTGAGAAGGTTGCCACTGGCTCTGTTGTATTGACAATCTCGCTGGAATGTATAATAATCTCTGATGACCATTTCGCCATTCGTTTTACACGGAAGAAACCAGAAAGGAATACTTTTAATCACAGCCGGCGAATATTAGCGCTAACACCAATACCAGCGACAACCACAGAGCTAAACTCAGTCAGGAGTAATATAATTTACCTTACCTTTGTAATTTTTTCATGATACGATAAGAATAATATGCCACGATTGCTAAAAGATTTTCCATTACACTACATTACAATCATTAACAGGATTAGTATTATTTTTTGAAAATCAAACTTTCTTCATTTTAACTTCAAATGACATGTATATGCCATGGGCAAATTATATAGTTTAGTGCATCACATGGGGTTTTGTCAAATACAACTGCAAACTCCGTATTCACCTGTAATTCGAGCACATCACCACATAGCGCAGGCCAGGGCCGTTGTGCAGCAGGCGGGGCAGAGGGCGCCACATCACCGTCAGATCCATGCGTGTCAAGTCTTCGCTCCGGTTCACCCGAAACGTCCCGATGCCCACCTCTGGGGCTGCCCACGGCGCTGTGGCAAGAAGTAGCAGTGTCTGGGTGTGGGTACTGTGCAATATTGCTGTGCTGGTATCATGGGGTAATGCTGTTATGGCTGTTTATGTATGGTCGTTACTTTTTAGTATGTCCTGTGAAAGACTCCTGTGAACCATGGCACTACTGCTTTTCCTGTCAACCTTCGTGCTACTGCTTTTCTTATATGTTTCTAATATACATCGAACTGCACAAAGAAAAAAAATGTCTGATACTTAACCGCTCACTGTGTTAGAAGTTACCTGTTGGCTTTACTTCGACGTTCCCGATGACGGCGCCGGAGGACCAGCCATCATCCCAGTGGTCGTCCGTCGTGGCGTTCCTTCGTCCGGAGCGGAGTCTCAGCTTGATCGCGTAAGTAAGCCATGCGTATGGTATACGAGTCTCCACTTCCCAGGTGCTGCTGTTACTGTATTTCTCCACTATAGGCTGTGTGAATATTATGAGAGATATTAAGAGGTAACTAGTAATGAACACGCGTAGACACACATTACTTTGTCGCGAAAGCTCTTGTACAGAAATTGATCATAGCTGAAGTTTTGTTTTATCCATATTGATACACGCCTTTACGATTATAATCTACTGTCTGAAGAAAAATACACATTGGAAATTAATA